GTATACTAAAATACGATTTCTATAGTTAGGTAAGGTGCATAWCTGACGGCACAACTAGACCACATTTTGAAATAAAGGCACTATCATATTCTTTCTGAACAACCGTTTTACAAAAGGTTGTCAAAAAACCGCGTTCGATAGTTGGTTGCAATTCCTTTCTTATAGGGGGTGTAAGTTCCGTTCGTCGATTAAGACATTGTTTCACTATCTTTGTTGAAACCCTAAGAGATTTCAAAGGCGCTTGGCTATCTGTGAATATGAATATCATTCATGTTTTAAGTCAAAMGGCTTTCGTTGACTACTGTAATCTCTGCTTGGAAGCTAATGCAGTGATCTACTAGTCGGAACACGATTCTGGTATCTAATTTTGCTAAAAAGACACCCTATCTTTTTTTTTTATCCTGTTTGGATGCGTCCTTATATATATACATATATATATCTATCTATGCATCTAAAATCAAAAACATTTAAAAAAAATTGAAATTCATCTTAATTTATTACCCATTCTATATAAACACGATTTTCACAATAAAGATATTTCTATATAAATCTTTAATTTACAGACTCTTTCGCTGACACTGGCCGCGCTTGCATCCGCCGATATTTCGCTCCGCAATGGCTATAATTATCAAGTGCAACAACCATTGATCTCACAGATAGTCAACTCGCTTGCCCAACAACAACAGCAGCAACAACAACAGCCGCAACACCTGCCAGGTAGCATTAACAACCCCATGCAAATAACTCAACCCAGTCAGCATTATATACCCGCATTGCAACAATCGAARCGGCCCTTACTACCACAACAACAATTGCCGTCACTGCCACCACAACAACAGCTGCAAGCACTGTCGCATGTACAGTCAATGYCACCACAACAACAACTACAATCACTACCGCCACARCAGACCSTCGGACGTTTGTCACAGCACCCTGCAGCATTACCTATGCCATCTAACTTCCCCTCGTCAGCAGGTTTCCAAGTGCCAATTGCCYCAGTGAGCGCTATCAAGCAGTCGCGCCGTCTGCGTTCACGTGTCAAGGTGCCAAAGAAGGCTATAGTCACCAAGAGTTTCTTCATACACTCAGCACCCGAGGAGAAAGAAGAGGAGGTTCAAGATGAACTCAATCAATTGGCCGCTCAGCCACGCAAACATTACAATGTGTTGTTCGTGAAGACACCAGCGCAAACCAGTAAAGCAGCAGCTRTCAATCTGGCCAAGGCGTTGAAAGAGGAAAAGACTGTTGTGTATGTGTTGTCGAAGAAGACCTCAGCCGCTGACTTGCAGGACGCCATACAAGAGGCACCACAACACATCAACAAACCCGAAGTGTTCTTTATTAAATATCGCACACCCGAGGAGGCGGCCAATGCACAGCGACAAATCCAATCGCAATACGACAGTTTGGGCGGTACCTCCACCATTACCGATGAAGGTTTGGCACCAGTCACATCGGTTGTGGGCTCACTCGATGCATCCGAGGAGGAAGACATTGAAGACGAGCAACAGTTGGTTCAACAACAGCCTGCGGGTCAAGATGGTTCATACGAAGATCAATTTCCAGCCAGTGGCCAGTATTTACCACCCTTGAATCAGTACTAAAGATCTTCATTTTGCTAATGAATGCTTTATGTTAGTTGTTATGAATTTATGTGAGAAAGTTCAAGAAATCATTCCATAATTTTCGTTTGTTAATCTAGTTTTAAGTTTGTAGCTAATTAAGTTTCCATTTGCCAATAAAAAATAACTTTCCCATAGATATTATTGAAAAAATATTTAGAACATTCTCCGCAGCTTTTCATCACTGTGCAACAGCGTTGGTCATGGGACATAATTAATGATAATATAATRGGCAACTCCTCATTTGCTAGGAATTATTTCACAAATGACTTCCCTCCAAACAGTTAATAGTTGTTAAGAGACGCAGTTTCCTTTAAAAGGAAATCTAGAAGGCTCGATTTTTGCTAGGAAGCCGCCTACTGGACTGGTCTCATCCGATATATTTCGCATTTAAAACACATGTATTATAAAGCTATTTTACGACTTACCTTTAATATTGWGTATTAAATTTCACTCCTTCAGCTGCATTTCTGCAATCATAAATTGTATAGATAATATAATTTCACATGCCAACATTTCTACCGCTTCTTCTCTCTGATAAACCAAAGCACTAATTCTCCTCATCGTGTTCTTTTCTCTTTTCTCTTTGATATAAAATACCAATTGAACTATATTCCTGTATATTTTGCACTTGAATCACTCAAAAATAAATTATTTGTTATCAAATACTTATAGTTTTAGTTTTTAAATGCAAAGTTCACAATTTTTATTAATTTTACTCAGGCGAATCGGAAAGGAATATATGAAGTTTGAAATGGCGGCGGAAACTGTGCAATGCAACAAGAGAAACAGTGCTGCCAGCGCGTCGGTAAAAGCTACTACATGCGGCTGCCAAAACTGTAATAGATTACTTCAGCATAAATTTCAGTTTGAGGTACAACCTTTTCAGCATTTTGAAAATATTGATACATGTAAATTGGTGCTGTAATCAGATCTCCTATTCCGCCAATAGTATCTGTTTTTTTCATAATTATTCCTTTTTGATTCATTCAAAAACATTATATAAAGATTTAAGCTGTTATTATGAAAACAAACTACTCATATTTTCTAAATTTGGGTTAAGTTGAGTAAATGTTRATATATTTTTATTCTTTATCTTAAATATATTTATATATAATTTTTTGTAATAGATTGATTAAGCTTAAGGGTCAAATGATATGTAAGTCTTCTTTTACTATATTTTTATATATAACGTAGTATATATAGGTAACAAAATACAGAACAAATTAATTCTAACATTTAGTTAAAATTAATTTAACATTAAGAACTCTGTTAAGAAATTGTTGCTACAAAAGAAATTTCTTGCGACAGGTGAGCCAGTTTTGTTCTTAATAAGTTCAAAATATTTTATACTGTGTTTAAAGTAAATTAGTAATGTTAACTATTTGTGAAAATCCCCAAATTTTTTCATTATATTACAATTTAGATTATATTTCTGGATTTTCTAAAAATTCTGTGATTATTATTTTTATTTATTTTATATAATAAATATTAATCATATAATTTTTATTAAAAGGAACATATATGTTATATTTTAAAAATTAATTAAAAAAGTGTGCACCTACCTTTATAAAGACTTATTTACGCAAAAATAGTGGCTACCCCATTTAACTATCATCATGTCATTGCAAATGCAACCCTTTGCATGTTTCAGTTTCCTTTGCGATTTCAATTTTCGTGCAGAAAGTTCGACGCGCTCGTGTAAAATTAGTAAAAGTTGTGAGCTTTGCACAAAAATACTCCAGTAATGCAGTTTATGTGTTTAATATTCATTTAGCAATTGTTTTTAATGAAAATGTATGTAAATAACTCGTGTTTGTTAAGTTTATTGACAAAGCAGCTGTAAAGTGTCAAAGAGTGTGTTGCGCAGGCAGAGTGAAATGTTTAAATCAGTGTTTTTTGTGCAAAACTTTTATATATTATGTGAATTATGAAATAAAGGTTAGCTTATGATATGGCTTTGAAGATAATCTACGTAAAAGGTGAAATTTTTTACGTTTTCTATAAATAAATGCTATCAAAAACCTGTAACAAAAGTATCAGCAGAGCAGCGACTGCCGGCAGCGCTGCTTGGCTTTTGTTGGCWTCAAAATGTTTAACTTCTTCATAGTAAACGGTGCGCAACATTTTGAAGCTTATGTACCATTTATTCGTAATATTATATTTCAGTGGTTTGAATTGTATTACACATTTGATCACATGAAAAGTGCTGGATRATATTTTAATGATTTTGCTTTGTTCAATTTAATACAAATTATATTTAAGTATATAAATAGACAAAAGTAGTAAAATAACAACCACCTAGACCTATGGGCTGGTTAATAATATATTATAAATACGAAGTAAAACACCTGCATTTGGAAAAAATATCTAATAATTATTTTTATAGATATATACCAATCATCAAATTAAATTTGTATTCAATATGTTTTAATTTATTGCAGCTAAAGACCGAACTTAGCCCTTCCTTACTTGTTCTCATTTAGTTTTCCAGTTAGCAGCAGAACTATAAGATTTATATCATGMGATAATATCTTCAGGTCCTGAACATGGTATATTAAGTTTTTCAGATATTTGTATATTCCGAAGAAAAAGTCGGAGACCTTATAAAATGTTTGGCGGGACGGACTGAGTCCATTTACTTATATTCTTCGTTTATATACGAAGTAGTCTTTCTGAAATTCTTCATGCGTCCGTTTCTTCCTTAGAAGCTACTAATTTGTGGCAATAGGGCACTATAGCATACTGCGGCCATACAAATTGAACTATTGTAATAAAGTGCCTGTAAGAAAAACATTTTTATTTGACAAATTATCTTCAAGGAATTCAGCATAACATATTTTCCAAGACTCTTTTATATGTAGATAGCGCGCGAATTGYTCAGATMGRACCCCTATAGCATATGTGTAWGTATATAGTKGCTTACCGAACTTCCGGATGAAGTATAAAATAAAGTTGTAAACTCTTAAAGTCCAGTTATCATAATTTTCTGTTTGTCTGCTCGTATACTTAGCGCAAAGAYATGATATAATAATTAAGTGTGAAGGTATTGTTTTTCTCCTCGAAATAACAACATGGAACGCACTACTCTAATTTAAACTAAACCTACTTTTCCATAATCACTTTAAGGCTGACACCATAACCCGTTTTTAAGTGAATACCACATTTCACACATTTGCGCTCACTTACTAAACATTATTTTCCTCACAGCAGGGCTCTTATGCCTCGTCGGTATAGAAGTCAATGGCGAGGTAGTGATAAGCACGCCACAAGAACCAATAACTGCACTTTTTTACTTAACCTCACTACCAAAAGTTCTAATTTTGAACTATAAAAGTCTAAACTAGTTTCCAAATCAAGCACTCCAGTTATCGCATTACAAAGAACATGTACCATTGCAAAGTAATCGTTTTGCTGGCACTCCAGTTGGCGCTACTCGCTGTCGTTAGTGGTCRCGTCGTAACAAAGGACGAGCATGAAATTCTTTATCCACCACAGACAGATTCACGCATAGTCGGTGGCGCGGCAGCGCCCGATGGATTGGCGCCATATCAAATTTCCATGCAGAATCTAMGCGGTCGTCACTTTTGTGGCGGTGCCATCATCGATCAGCGTTGGATCATCACTGCCTCACATTGTGTGGCGGGCGCAACAGCTCCGAAAATACAAATTCTCACTGGCGCCCAAAATCTGAAAAACAATACTGGCAAATACTACTATCCCGATCGCATTATGATGCACACAAACTACAACCATCCGCCATATGCCAACGATATTGCGCTCTTGCACTTGAACGATTCGATTGTCTATGATGAACACACGCAGGCRGTGAAGTATGCTTACGAGCCGCTGAAGAAGGATGATGAACTGGTGCTCACCGGTTGGGGTTCCATGGCGYTGGGTGGCTCCACACCAGATGTCTTGCAGACACTSACGGTACGCGTAGTGCCATATGAAGAGTGCCGYGCTGCACACACTGACAATTTGTCGARCTACGTGGATGTGGGTCACTTGTGCACCTTCAATGATAACGGCAAAGGTGCTTGTCACGGTGATTCAGGTGGTCCACTGGTGCATAATGGCACGTTGGTCGCATTGGTCAACTGGGGATTGCCCTGTGCAAAGGGTTATCCCGATGTGCATGCGAGTGTGGCTTACTATCACGACTTCATACGCACGCAATTGGCTGCAACTACTGAGGAAGCGGCTTTGGAGAATTGAGCAACAAAGAAGAAAAAAAAAAAATAAGAAAGTCTAGTGAATGTAAAAAATTTAGAAGACAAAGAAATAGAAATACAATTTCCATCTCCGAAACTAATTGATGGTATGGCGTAATTTGGATACATTTTTTCGATGTCATTGGCGTAATTTAGAAAATAATTAAGCAATATATAATCTATAATAAACTATACTCTTGTATTTGCAAAGATACCATACAGTTCGCAGTTGCAAAATATTACTAGCTCCTAAAAGTACGCAAAATAAAWTTGGCTGAAGATTGCTCCCAAAAAKTACCCCGCAGGAATTTTAATCAATCTAATCTATAAAGGATTAATTTCAATTTTATTTAAATAAGAGTATATTTCTTATTTATCCATTATAACAATAATAGCATTAATATCTTGGTCAGATCTCTTGTCCGTTCGTCTACGCGTATAAATGCGAACTAATTCCTCAGTTTCTGAAATATCAATCTGAAAATTTTCAAACACTCTTTTCTTTCCAAAAAACCGCTCATTTATTGGAACCGCCAATATCGGACCACTAGAGCATACAACTCCTATACAAACTAAACGAACAAATTCCCAGATACAAAGCTATTATTTAGTACAACGAATTGCATTAAGAAGGGGCGTCTGTAGTTTGGAAATCCTTAAAMAGTGGGTGCGACCTTACTCCCTAATAGTTTTAATATATATTTCAGCCRAACCATTCACGCTTTAACACTCCAATTCGCACAAAACAAATAATTCCGACACTTCTTACGACTAAAATTAGGTAAATCGGATGATAAACCTGCTCGATCTCCATACCTGGGTTTTTTTGTTTAACGACTAAAAGTGTTTTAAATCAATTAATGCGACATAAACATACAGTTTCAAAACCGGTATGATGCAAGGGCTTTTCAACCGATATCAAAATTTTACGATGGGCGTGGCACCGCCCACTTTTAGGTGAAATAACATATSKCGGTGCTTCTGCTAACTAAATTCGGTACGTAAATTATTTCTATAAAACACCGTGAATATGAACGATCTGGAACTACAACCACGCCTACTTCCCATATAGTACAATATTAAATTCTAAACGATTCTAACACTTTCCAGTATCAGATAAAATTTTGCATAAATATTGCTTTAGAGGTATGCTATCTGTGGTCTAAAATTGTCAAAATCAGAACATAATTGCTCAAGTCCCCAGTTACATCATATTGGAACCCTAGAGTCTGTTGCCAACTTTTTACCAAAAATATCCGTCAAACTGTGAGWTATATTATTGCAATTCGGAGAGAGTATTTATGAAAATAGTATGTATTGAATCGGGTCAATATTTCTCTTAGTTTCCATATGCCTAATAGAATATTTTAATATTTTCAAACTTCTAGGTGACTTYATATCGCATATATTGACCAATATGTGAGTTATCTGCTTGAAGATGAGAGAGAGTTTTTTCTAATGACAGTGTATCCTTGCTCGTAAAATAGATAAAAACAGGAATAAACTTTCCCCAGCCCTTTTACTTATTTCAGGATTTTCAAACATCCGACTAGCTTTACGCCACATATAATGTACTGGCTGTGAGGTACATTAGTGAAACTCAGATAGMATTTTATTCTGTTAATAGTACGAGTATGTGGTAATGCCAAAAATATGTGTATTTAGTCTATAATTATCCAAATTCCTTTACACTGTATATACTAATTTTCGCCTTATAAAAAATGTTACATCAAGCATGTCGGCCAGAGTGTGAGTTATGTATTTATAAAATTACTTGACAATATGTTCTTGAGAATACCCTAGCAATGTCAAAACTAATGTGTGCCAGCTCATCAGTTCCCCGCGCTCTTTYATTATGGTTTTCGAATTTCCACCGGACTTTATGGTAAGACCATTCGGATTGGTCAAATTATGTGATACTTTAAGGGATTACATGGGTTTCCTCTGGCAAAAAGCAGCATTTTTTAAAACAATATTTTTAATATGAAAAATTACATATTTTACAACATTTTTTATTGTTAAAAACATACGCTATTAACAAAGAAATTCTAACATTTTTGGGGAAAAAATATTTTAAACTCGGCCATTGCCATTTCAAATAGTTGTTTAAATTTCAAATAGTTGTAATAGTTGTAATAAACTTTCAAATAGTTGTAATAAAAAAAAAACATTCGTCAAAGTCTTTAAGAATTGCTTCTCAAAGGCTTGTGTATTATTTTATGAAGATAGGTTGTGTTGTTCTCGAGAAATCTTGCCAACCGATTTCAAAAACACAGTTTCGAGAAAAACACCTGTAAAGACGGCGGACTTAGCCTAGCTAGTCTCGAGCGCACAAGTTCCCAAGGCTGTATCTCCGAAACTATTAATCAAATCAACTTGAATATTTAGGACATTATTCTAGAGGTGTTGTAGAAKTAAATACGACAATTAAAAAAATTAATTTTTTGAAACCCGTAAACCCATGTAACCCCTTAATAAAAGTTTTACCAACACCTGAATGTGTTCCCCAGGCTTTGATATTTGCAAGTTGCARSRGTATAAAATGTTCGGTTACACCCGTACTTAGCGCTCCCTACTTGTTTTGTTTTGTATTAGTTGTCTCCCGWAAGTAAATATGTCGTAATTTCTACAGAAAATAGTTTAAAGTTATTTTCAGAATCTGCATTTGTTTATATAARATGCTAGTCAACCAATTTCGGTTTATCCTATCAAACAGTGCCAATCTTCTTCTGCAAGTCAACTATTATTACTATCAAAGCTGCTTGGGTGCGCTTTGTGGCTTTGGCACCTCACTTTAACCGTTTCCGAATTTAAATGAGTCACACAAACAAATTTAAAACTCCCGTTATAATAGCATTTTGAATTTGTTTACTTCAAACTTCGCATTTTTTCCATGCAAATAGTTCGTACTTTGCYCAGAAGTTCTTAACAACTGGCCACTTGTGAAAAAACTATGATAATACCTTATCTTTYTTACTTTCTTGCTTTCAAGAGCTAAAATGTTTGATAGAAACATATTTACTTGGTCCTGAAATTACTTGATATATTTTATGGAGTTAAAATAAAACTTTATCAGGTCTTTCTTAAATTGTAATTAATATGGCTTATCGCTTCTGTTTATATCGCATTTTTTTTGCCTGATGGGYATGAAACATTTCTGATAAGAAGCGCCACTAAATTGATAATATTCAAACAAAAATATAATTATAGAAAAATAATATAAAAATGTTTGAATTTATATAATTTATTTACCCAAAATATTTTGTTTACAATTAATCACAGCTACTAAAAATATAGACAGACGATAGCAATGAATATCACGTATTGCTATTCTGTCGAGGCAAAAGACACAATCTGGCCAAGACAGATAACTTTCAAKCGTTTCCTGTTCATAATATCAATGKTATTTGGTTGAGTTCGGATCRTTTGCAATAAACACCGCCGATTATAGCAACAGTTGGAAAAGGCACAACCAAATGACCTATGAGTTGTAGCCTGCAGACTCAAATGACATCTTATAATAGCAGAGTTGTGGCTAAGCTTTTCAGATGTCGCCTTTTGACTATGTGACATCGAACAGAAGAAATAATAATACCTGTAATTTAACGATAGAACTTTCCTCTTAAGTGTTTCTAGGTGGATTTTAATGAGCTTGGCAACGTGAGGCCGAGCGGCAGAATCACTTTTCCGCGGCTTTCCTAATATTGAGGTCATAAGGAACTCAAGTTCCTTGTTTCTGAATCATCCATAAGCGTCTACTATTCATCGTCTTCGAAGGTTTTCAGTTTTTAATATAATATTACTATATTAATATGGTATATTATGAACTTTGTAAAAAAAAATACGTATACTTTGCTTATTTTGGATAAAGTTTGGACACTTCATAAGGTCGGCAAACAATGTGCTGAAGACCAAATTGGTTCAAGAGTAAGAAAAAAGCTTTCCGATGTGCAATTTCTATCCTACGGCGCGAACAAAAGAACTATAGAGATRATTTTTACTATTGTTCGTGTAATGTTACATACAATCTGCCATCAGCTCTTCRTCCCATTCCACATTGAACCGAAATACCAACGCTTCAAGCCCCTGCTACTTTGAGAGACATTTCAAGTTTCAATGAAGATGTTGGTGTGCTTGAACTGAAATACATGTTTTGAATTTGAAGACGACAGGAGTCAAGAATTGTTTTCGCAGGGAGAGCTAATTATTTTGTGGGAATTTGAATTGTATCAAAGATATTCTACGGCTTTTGGCTAATTTACAGTTTATCAGAAACAYGACTTATGTCCAAAACAAAAGATGAATTGATTTTAAAAAAGTCAAAGAAAAATGTTGATACAATAACTAACTAAGAACCTTACTAAAAGCATATCGTCAAAGGTTTGTTAAAATTATTTAAAGCTGTGGGTTGCCTAATGAGTCATAAGCTACATTCTCACCTAGACTACTTTACAGAAAATGAGCGAGTAAAGAGAAAGGTGAATGATTTCACTAATGCCAAACTACTGTTGTACGCTTCAGAGAGACATTCTTGATGCTTCACTAAGAAAAATAAAAGTGTAATGTTAACTTGTTGAACGCACATACATACCCACCGAGATTGTCAAAAAACGTGAAGTTTAATGACAAAATTAAATTAAATTTCAGTTTCAGCTCATCCAAAACTATAGGAATTATGCCAAAATATTCAAACAATCCAAAATTTTTTATTTCCGAACTTGTTTAATCTGTAGTGGCAAAATTGACCGAAATTCTTTCATAACTTTTCAACTAAATTGGAGGCTTTCCAATGCATAAATACTAAAGCCGATTTTAAATTATTATCCGATCTTTTCAATAGTCCACTTTTTATTCAAAATATAATAAGGCTTGTTTTGATATTAAAAACTTATTGAATAGGGTTTAACCAATTGATTAAAAAAATTTAGGTCCGGTGAAACATTGCTCCAATGATTAYCCTAATTGCTGTACAAATTTGCATTCAGTAAGTTCAACGTACTATGGTAAGTTAATATTAATGGGAAATGTTACTCTATTTCTTTAGACAATAATCAGTAATCTCGCTTTTGCACCACTGTTGCCCAAAAAGGTTTTCGCAAACCTTATTACTGTTGCATTRGAACAGCGCTCATAGAACATCTTGTACTTAAGAATGCCATTCCCAAGAAAACTGAGTCTACTATATGGGCTGACAAGTGTTAGCCTAAAATGAACTAATGCTTT